TCAGTGAACCCAAAAGAATCATTGAATTGCGAAGGGGGCTAAATGCCAGGAGCTCCAGGGCGCTCTCCCGTGGAGCGCCGCCTCGCCATCTGGCCTTGAACCTTCAACTGCAAAGCGCAGAGCGCCGCTTAGATGATTCGCCCCTGGCGCGGCGGCGGGTTTGGCCGAAGGCCACTCGATCCGCCGAACCCTGCGTTCTGGCCGCGGGAACGCGCGGCGCGCTGGGATTCCGAATGTTTCGGTTTTTTCTAAAGGACCCCCCAGCGGGGTCTCGGCCCAAACCGCTGGCCACTCCCCGGGGGGCGGCCCAACATGTAAACTCCGTCGGCGTCTCGAACCCGCAGGGACCTGCGCACTTCCCAGGTCGTCGGTCTTTCTGGCTCCATGCGGCCTCGGGAAAGCCTCCGAGATGGCCAAGATGGTTCTGGGGCGGCTATGATGGCCCCGAGATGCGCCCAAGACGGCCCAAGATGGCGTCAAGATAGCCCAGGACGGCCCAAGAGGACACCGAGAATTTTCGAAGCGGGGCCGAACGTCCCCAGAGCGGTTCGCCGTAGGCACGTGGGATACAAGCAGAAGGAGCTGCCGAAGTATTCGTTGATGCACTCGTTGAGCTGCCGGAGCTTCGGCAGCGCTGTCTCCACTGCAAGCGGGAAGCCGTCGTGCATGCCCTGGGCTGCAGGGGCGCCCTGGGGGCTGGCCCAGCGAAGACGCACTCGCGCCGGACCCGGAAGAGAAGCGTGCATTGGGGGCAGCGGCATCTCACAGGCGGGCTGCGCCCGTGGACGTGCGCGCCGTCGTCGCGCACATCGGGCGGCCTGCGCGCGTGGCTACATACGGCGCACCCAACCAGCAGGAAGATATCGGAGAGCATGAACTTCAGGGGGGCAACAGTGAACCCTTACCGCAAACGGTAGCGCCGGTGAGACGGTGGGGCGTCCAAGAAGGTCCAGCGTCAGCAGGCTCAGCATGAGCGCTTCGGTCACGGCGAAGGCCTGTTTCACTAAGCCAGGGTCGTCCACCCCCGCCCGAGCCTGCCTCAGAACTCTGATTAGACTGCTCAGCCGGCCCGCTATCACCGAGCAGGAAGATATCCATCGCGGCAGAGCATGCAGCAGGTGGTCGAGGATGCGGAAGTCGCACGCGATCGGCACCCCGACGCTGCGCGGGCATGTGCGCCGCCAGCCGTCGTGCCCGTCGAACCACCCGGTGACCGACGACATCAAATGCAGTTTGCTGAGGACAGAAGCGCGGAGAAACTGAGCAACCGCTTCGCTCGTCTGCAGCGTGACACCGTCGCACAGATGCCGATGTGCAGCGCCGGGATCCCGCAACACCGTGTCGTCGATGAACTTGGGGGCCCCTGTGTATCGAAGCATGCAATCACACACCAGCCACACTGCCAAGCGCGCATCAGTGGTCGGCGCCGAGCGGAAGATGCGTCGATAGACGCTGGCCGCAAAACACGCGCGAGACCTGAGGGACGCGTCGAGGCGAGGCTGCTTGCCCAACAAAGGTGCGTGAGACACGATAGATCGATGCAGCAGCGGAGCGCGCTCGAGCCCCGACTCCACGCGCTCCCGGGCTGCCCGTGGAACCAGCACGTCCGGCTGGACCACAACTAGGAGGCAGTAGAAGTAGAAGAACGCGCGGAACAAAGGCTTGTTGACGAAACCCATGCGGACAGCTATCTGGTCAGAAGCGTTGCTAAGGTCCTCCGACATCAGGTCCGATCCCAGCAAATACTTCTCACTGTCATCTCCTTGGTAAGAGATTCCCGTCCAGGACGTAGGCACTCGGATGTCCTCATCATGTTGCTGGTCTTGCTCGCTGTCGACATCGGAGCAATCCGAATCCGACTTGGCATCAACGCGTGCTGGCGCAGGCACGGGGGGCGGAGGCCCTGGCGCTGAGGAAGTCGCAGCCTGGCGATCCCATCGGCCCCGGTTCGACACGCCGCCGTGATCTGCACACGCGGTACGCCCGTCCTCGGTACGGCAGGTAGTGTACCGAGGACAACCTGCCGAAGGCGTTTCATCTTGAGCCACCGCTTCGGACATGGCTGGCGGTACGTGCGCGGCCCAGGGGGGGGGCCGGGGACGCACTGAAGTAAGAAGAGGCGCCATGAAATCTGAGGAAGTATCATGGCCCACGCCATGACGTCTACCCCCCGTGGTCATGAGGGGCAACGTAAATGGGGGACTGACATAGGGGGGATGCATCGACCTGGAATCGGCGATACATCGCCGATAGATCGGCGATAGGCCTCCGATAGTGAATCCGCGCCTTCCTGGGCAGGTTGGGGCTATCTGGCCCCTATCGGCGATCAGTGGGCGATAAGGGGTCGATGCATCCCCCCTATGCTTATCCCCCCCCCTCGTTGCCCCCGATGTATCACCCCCTTCTTTGCCGCCCCCAAGAATAGGTGGAGACCGCTTGGGGTCGACGCTATGAAAAAAAAAAACTCGTGACGTCGGGGGTCTAGGACCCTGGAGTCGTCGCGCGTGCCACGCCGGAGGCCTTCGCCCCATGCATGTCGGGCCCCAGGGGCCCTCACTGATGGACCTCTGGCGCGAGACATGCCGCAGGAAATCTTCGGTGGCAATTCGTGGGAGATTCCCATGCCATCTTGTCGGCTCTTGCGAATCGACGCACATCGACGCTAGTCGACAATAATCGACGATAAATCGACGCCAAATTTGACGCTAATAGACGCTAGCCGACGCTCAATCGGCGCTATCTCATCGACTCCAGACACTAATCCATGCAAAAAGCTATATTAAGAGGGTACACGAGGCTTCCACGATTTTCTAAATCATTTTCAATCGGGGACGCGCGAATCCAAGTCAGCGCTGACCTGCGCCAACCAGAGCCATGCCGCGAGCACGATAGCTGGCCGAAGAACAGCTCCAGGTCCGCGGAAGAAGACAGAGGGGGGCTGGCTCGACGTGGCTCGCAACCCGGGTCGGCCCGAGGGAATAGTCGAAGGGGACTGGCTGACCCCCCTCCTGCAGCTCCTCCTCCTCCTCCTCCTCCTCGTCATCCTCCTCCTCCTCCAAATCCTTCTCCTCCGCCTCCTCCTGCTCCTCCTCCGCCTTCGCCTCCTCCTACTCCCACTCCTCCTCCTCCTCCTCCTCCTCCTCCTCCTCCTCCTCCTCCTCCTCCTCCTCCTCCTCATCATCATCATCATCATCATCATCATCATCATCATCATCATCATCATCATCATCATCATCATCATCATCATCATCATCTCATCATCATCATCATCAGCATCATCATCATCATCATCATCATCATCATCATCATCATCATCATCATCATCATCATCATCCTTCTCCTCCTCCTCCTTCTCCTCCTTCTCCTCCTCGTCCCCGTCCCCCTCCCCCTCCATCCTCCTCTCTACCTCCCCCTCGCCCCACATCCTCCTCCTCCTCCTCCTCCTCTCCCTCCTCCTCCTCCTCCTCCTCCTCCTCCTCCTCCCCCCTCCTCCTCCTCCTCCTCCTCCTCCTCCTCCTCCTCCTCCTCCTCCTCCTCCTCTCCTCCTCCTCCTCCCCATCCTCCTCCTCCTCCTCCTCCTCCTCCTCCTCCTCCTCCTCCTCCTCCTCCTCCTCCTCCTCCTCCTCCTCCTCATCGTTCGCGCTGACCCTCCGTGCGCCGAGACATCGGCTGGGCGGAAGCCGTCGGTGGCCGTCGTGAACCCTCGGGAGGCCCGAGGAGTCCGGGGAGCCTGGGGAGTCCGGGGAGTCCGGGGAGTCCGGGGAGTCCGGGGAGTCCGGGGAGTCCGGGAAGTCCGGGGAATCCAGGAAGTCCGGGAGTCCGGGGGAGTCCGGGGAGTCCGGGGGAGTCCGGGGAGTCCGGGGAGTCCGGGGAGTCTGGGAAGTCCGGGGAGTCCGGGAAGTCCGGGGAGTCCGGGGAGCCCGGGGAGCCCGGGGAGTCCGGGCCCGGGAGTCCGGGGAGTCCGGGGGAGTCCGGGGAGTCCGGGGAGTCCGGGAGTGGGGGAGTCCGGGGAGGGGAGTCCGGGGAGTCCGGGGAGTCCGGGGAGTCCGGGGAATCCGGGGAGTCCGGGGAATCCGGGGAATCCGGGGAGTCCGGGGAGTCTGGGGAGTCCGGGGAGTCCGGGGAGTCCGGGGAGTCCGGGGAGTCCGGGGAGTCCGGAACCCAGATGCGCACCATACTGGGGTCAGGGTCCAAAAACACAGGGGATTTGCCACATTTCTGAAATTCGGTGCCACCCCTCACGCAGATCCGCGGGGTCAGGGTCCAAAAACACGGGGGATTTGCCACATTTCTGAAATTCGGTGCCACCCCTCACGCAGATCCGCGGGGTCAGGGTCCAAAAACTAAGGGGATTTGCCAAATTTCTGAAATTTGAACCCATCACGCACATCCATCGCAAGGCGTGGTAACCCAAACTGCGAGAACTCCCTCGGCCCTTTAATCGCAAGGTGTGGTAACCAAGCCCTTAAACCATACACGTCTTACCAATCGCCAGGTGTGGTAACCCCTCTTGTGATCAGTTGGTTTTGCTGATTGCGACTCGGCTTCGCATGAAGTTTCGATTCTGCTTCACGACAGCGCCAAGGCCTCATGACTTAGCTCTTCCATGGCCCATTCTCCGAGAGAGGGGGCCGGCGGCAGGGGGCGAAGCCCTTACGGATATATAATATATATATATATATATATATATATATATATATATATATATATGTATATATATTTATCAAAAAGATGGCCCCCTAGGGCCGGCCTATACCCACCGCCTGCCGAAGTTGGCGGCACGAACAGGGGGAAGAGGGAGGGCGGAAGGATTCTTAGGAGGTTGCTTCTCAGAGGGCGCCGGCCCTGCATCTACAGACAAGGCCCGCGCCTTCTGAGAGGCAGGGGTGCTTCAAAAAGCCTCCCCCCCTCCCCATACCCCTCCTCATCTGCACGTGTCCGACGGGGTTCCAAAAAGATCGATCCCCAGGCAGTGGCCCTGGATGAATCCCCGCCTCGGCTCCTGCATGACGCGCGTCACCACGGCGTCGTACTCGGCACGGGGCGTCCCCTTCTTGCACGGCACGTGCACCGCCTTCAGGCCCTCGCCCCTCGCCCTCTCCAGGATGCCGGCGCTGGCCTTGTTGGACACGACCACCACGATCTCAGCGTTCAGCACGCCCGCCTCTGGAGGGGGACAAAGGGTAGGATAGCAAAGGATAGGGTAGAGAATCGGCTCACGCAACTGGTTTTCCTAGCGCCTCCTGGCGCCGGGAGGCGCCCACGTATCAAGGAATGGGCCCAGCGGCGGGGCCGAAACCAGCTGCACGCGGCAGATTTCGTAATCGCGCCTTTCCCTATCCCCCCCTTTCGCCTTTGGACAAACCTCCCTTTAGCAAACCTCCCTTTAGTGAAAACGGCCCGGGACCGAAACCGACGGACCAGGACCCGCAAAAAGGACGGCCGCGACGCCCCCTCGCGAACCGAAAACGGCCAATTCCTTAATCGACGTGTCAGGGTACTCCAGATTTCGTAATAAAGGGAGGGGGGTCTCATTTCGGGGGGGAAGTCTTTTCCAAGCTATCTTGGAGGGCCTGGGGGGGTCTGGGGACGATGTTTTGGAGGGTTCTCCCAGGGGGGGGGTCTAAAACTTCTCGTCTGGGAGGGTTGAGACCCCCTCCCTTTTATTACGAAATCCGGAGTAGGAGGTCTGTCCACCCCCGACCCTTTCGTCCGGCCCGAGCCTTGATGGCGTCGATGACGGCCTGCGAGGAGGAGCCGCGCGTGGACCCGACCAGGGCCACCCTGACGGGCCGGGCGCCCGGGGAGCTGCTGTCCTTCGGGGCAACGCTTGGCCGACCTCCGTCCCCAGCAGCATGGCCTTGTGAGGGGGCCCCAGGACACACAAATAAATGCACACAAATAAAAATATTCCTCATATTTTCCTATATCTTCTGGGTTTCTGTCTTCCCCCCCACTTCACATATTTTCCAATATTTTCTGGGGAATCGACGATTAATTGTGTCTGTGTGTTTTTTTCCCTCCTGGCCTTGGCCCCACTGACCAACACGTCCCTCACACTGCCCTGACTCTCGCGCGCGGTCCGCCTCCCCGCTCCCCGCAGTTTCAATACTCGCTCGGGGCGCCGCGCGATCGGATGTTTCAACCGTCGATCGCATCTGACTCGACATTGAGATCAGGAGGTCCGGTAGGAGGGCGGGGGGGGAGAAATTTTTAAAAAACTTGTCTCACTTTTGCAAGGGAGTGTAGGTGGGGATCAATGCTGTTCCCCGCGGATCTTTCGGGGCATGTCCCCACCTGGCGGAGGGGCTGGTGGGCTTGAGATAACCGCGAATGGTCTTTCATAAACCCCCAGGCAATCATTGGACACTAAGTTTCCCCGCGGGCTTATTGACGGATTGGGTTCCACAACTATTGGCAACAGAAATTGGAAACTACTTCTTCCCCCGCGCCGGCCGCCGCACAGGCCTCCGCTAGTCGTCGCCGACGACGTCGTCGTCATCGCTCAAACAAAAAACAACAACAACTACTACGACTACGACGACTACTACTACGACCACTACTACTAGTACGACGACGACGACGACGACGACGACGACGACGACGACGACGACGACGACTACTACTACTACTACAACGAATACTACTACTACCACTAGACGACGACTACTACTACTACTACTACTACTACTACTACTACTACTACTACTACTACTATTACTACTACTACCACTACTACTACTCGTACGACTACTACTACTACTACTACTACTACTACTACTACTACTACTACTACTACTACTACTACTACGACTACTACTACTACTACTACTACTACTACTACTACTACTACTACTACTACTACTACTACTACTACTAACTACTACTACTACTACTACTACTACTACTACTACTACTACTGCTTCTACAGCTACTACTACTACTACTACTCCTACTACAAGTACGACTACGACAACGCCTACTACTACAACAACAACAACTACTACTACTACTACTACAACTACTACGAGTACTACTACTACTACTGCTACTACTACTACTACTACTACTGCTACTACTACTGATGCAACTACTGCAACCACTGCCACGACGACGACTACTACTACAACTACGCCTACTACTACTACTACTACTACTACTACTACTACTACTACTACTACTACTACTACGACTACTACTACTACCACCGCAATGGCGACGACGACTACTACTACCACTACTACTACTACTACTACTACTACTACTACTACTACGAGTAATATTCCTACGACTCGTAATCGCACGACAACTAGCACTACCACTACAACTACTAAGGCTACGACTACCACTAGTACTACTACAACTACAACGGCGACTAACTATTAGTACTACTACTACTACTACTACTACTACTACTACTACTACTGCTGCTACTACGACTTCTACTACTACTGCGACCTGTAGTGCTGCTGCTATTACCACGCAAACTTACGACTTCTACTACTACCAATACTACGCACTACTACTACTACTACTACTACTACTACTACTACTACTACTACTACTACTACTACTACTACTACTACTACTACTACTACTACTACTACTACTACTCGTATTACTACGACTACGACTTCGACTACGACGAGGATTACTACGACTACTACTGCGACAAAGACTACTACTACGACTACCTGCTGCGAACTACCACTACTACTACTACTACTACTACTACTACTACTACAACTACTACTACTACTACTACTACTACTACTACTACTACTACTACTACTACTACTACTACTTCCACTACGACTACCACTACTACTACTACGACTACCACTACAAATTCTACCACTACCACTACCACTACTACTACTACTGCAACTACTGGTGCGACTACTACTATTACTACTACTCCGGCTTCTACTACGGATACGAATGCTACTACTATTACTGCTGCAACTACGACTACTACTTCTATAACTACTATCAATGCTACCAGCAATACCACTGCTACTACTAGTACTACTACCACTACTACTGCTACTACTACTACTACTACGGCAACGGCTACTACTCCTACTACTCCTACTACTACTACTACTACTACTACTACTACTACTACTACTACTACTACTACTACTACTACTACTACTACTACTGCTACCACACCTGCTACTAATACAACGACGACTACTACTTCTACTGCTGCTACTACTACTAGCACTACTACAACTACTACTACTACTACTACTACTACTACTACTACTACTACTACTACTACTACTACTACTACCACGACGACGACGACGACGACGACGACGACGACGACGGCTACTACTGCTACTACTTCGACTACGACTACTACTACTTCTTCTACTACTAATACTACTACTGCTGCCACACCTACTACTATTAATACTGCTAGTACAACGACTACTACTTCTACGAATACTGCTACTACAACTACTGATACCAATGGTACGATAGTATCACTACTGCTACTACCATGAGGACGACGACTACTACTACCACCACTACTGCTACAAGTGCTGTTCCGACTACTACTACTATTCATACGACTACTACTACTACTACTACTACTACTGCTACTACTACGACTACTACTACTACTACTACTACTACTACTACTACTACTACTACGACTACTACGACGACTACTACGACGACTACTACTACTACTACTACTACTACTACTACTGCTAACACGACAGCTACCCCTACTACTACCACGGCTACGACTACGACTCCTACAACTACGCCTGCTACTACTACTACTACTACTACTACTACTACTACTACTACTACTACTACTACTACTACAACTACTACCCCGACTTCCTATTACTACAACTACGGCTACGATAACTACTGATATTACTACTACTACTACTACTACTACTACTACTCCTACTGCTAGTGCTATTACTATGTTTACTGCTGCTGCTATTATCACCACTACTACTACGACTACTACTGCTACTACGACAACTATGACTACTACTACTCCTGCTACTACGATTACTACTACTACCACTACTACTACTACTACTACTACTACTACTACTACCAAGTAATACTACTACTAACACTACCACTACCACTACGACTACTACTACTACTACTACTACTACTACTACTACTACTACTACTACTACTACGGCGATTACTATTACTACTACTACTACTTCTACTACTACTCTTACTCCTACAGCTGCTACTGCGACTACTACTACTACTACTACTACTAGTACCAGTACTAGTACTAGTACTACTGCGACTACTACTACACTACTACTACTAGTAGTACTAGTACTAGTACTAGTACTATAATACTAGAACTAGTACTGTCTAGTAAGTACTAGTACTAGTTAACTAAGTACTAGTACTACTACTACATACCCTACTACTACTACTACTACTACTACTACTACTAACTACTACTAACTACTAACTACTACGACGGACTACTACGACCACTACTACTACCTACTACTACACGACTGCTACTAGCACTTACAGTACTAACGACTACCCTTCTACTACTACTACTACTACTACTACTACTACTACTACGCCTGCTACTACTACTACTACTACTACTACTACTACTACTACGACTACTACCACTACTACTACTACTACTACTACTACTACTACTACTACTACTACTACTACTACTACTACTATAACTACTACTACGACTACTACTACTGACGCACTACTACTACTACTACTACTACTACTACTACTACGCTACTACTACTACTACTGCTACTACTACTACTACTACTACTACTATACTACTACTACTACTACTACTACTACTACTATATACTACTACTACTATTACTACTACTACTACTACTGCTAACACGACAGCTACCCCTACTACTACGACTACGACTCCTACTACTAGGCCTGCTACTACTACTACTACTACTACTTACTACTTACAACTTACTACTACTACTACTACTACTACTACTACTACTACTACTACGACTACTACTACTACTACTACTACTAACACTTATATACTACTACTACTACTACTACTACTACTACGACTACTACTACTACTACTACTACTACTACTACTACTACTACTACTACTACTACTACTACTACTACTACTACTACTACTACTACTACTACTACTACTACTACTACTACTACTACTACTACTACTACTACTACTACTACTACTACTACTACTACTACTACTACTACTACTACTACTACTACTACTACTACTACTACTACTACTACTACTACTACTACTACTACTACTACTACTACTACCATTCCTACTACTACTACTACTACTACTACTACTACTACTACTACTACTACTACTACTACTACTACTACTACTACTACTACTACTACTGCTACTGCTGCGACCATCCAGGAGTCACGAGTTTCCGCCAAGAGCTGAAGGGAGGGGGTCGCAGCACAAATGCCCCTCTGGGGTTACCATTCCCCAGTGGGGATGGGGATCGGCTAGACGCTGTTGATCAGGGCGAAATGAGACAACGGCAACTCAAAATCGATCCCAGGATCCCTTCCGGCGCCCCAGAGCAGCAGTTTCCCAAGCTGCGCCCGGCCGTGGCGACGAGGGGAGCCCCCCGAAGGCCAAGTATAACTTGTTCAACGCCCCCTCCTCAGAATCCTTGGGGGAAACAAAAGGTACCGATACCGCAACCCCCCAGATGCGACGACAAGGGCCTCCCAGGAGGCTCACAATGGCGAAAACGAGACAAGTTCAGCTTTCATCCTCCGAGCCCTTTGTCCTCGCAGGCTACTGCGGCCGCCCGCTGGCCCCGAGCGGGCCCGCGCGGCCCGGCCCCTGGCGGCTCAGAGCCGCCCCCGCCCGAGGGGCCTGCGGGCGGCGGGGGCTCCTCCCCCCGGGCCGGGGCCACCTGTCGCAGCTGCCTCCCCGCAGGGCACCCAGTTGGAGGCGCCCTAGAAAGGGCTCGAATAGATAGAAGACGACTGTGGCCCAAGATTCCGAATAACAAGATTCCAGACAGCAAGCGAGCGCACATATCCTTATACTCCTCCACCCTCATCAGGTACCTCGTAAAGTACTCCTGCTCCATCGTCTCGCTGTGCTACCAATGGCTGATATAGATTGCGGGGCCCCTGTGGCTCCGAGTTCACCATCGACACTGGTTGAAGCAGGCTGCAGTGTTTTCTATCGCCGAGGTCATCTGGCACGATGTCAGAGCCATATATTCCGTTTCGGAACATGCTGAGGTCCCCTTTGCACGGCTGGCCGCCCATCGCCTACGTAGACGAGATTATCAGAATTTCGAACGCCCATCTGGAGTTGTTCCTGTTTGCGGAATTAAGCGTGGCGCTCCTTGGCACCTACGAAGGGCTCCAGGGCCGCGGGCGTCATGACCAGTCTGCCTTGCATGGGCATGATCCCCGTCGAGAAGCGGACCTTGAGCACAATCGAGTGGGTGACCGACGAGATCGAGCTGCTCTTAGGGCCTGACAGCATCTGGGATAGTCTGAGTACGCCCGCTGTCCTTCGCCCGCCGGACGAAGATCACAGTGTGCGCTTGGAGCGGCTCTGTGTGCACGTGATTCCACTGTTTCATCAACAATTCGCAAAGGGGCTAAGGGAGTATATCATCATGAGCCTACCGATTTTCCTTGATGTAGACAGATACTGATGCTGGTTCACGCTTCCCCGTGATCGCCTTGACACTTGGTGCTCTGTCAGGCTATCTCGAAATTTTCTGTGTGGCCTGTGCCTGGCCAGGAGTCGCTAGAACGAGGGTGGGGACATGCTTTCTAGTTTCGGAGCCCCGCTCTCAGTTCTCATCGGGGTGACTGCAGTGGGATCACGCGGTGGCGTGACAGCGAGGCGCTCGTGTGATCCGGAGTGAACGGTTCATGAAGCGGTCCTCAACGCTGCCGAAGGAAGCATGTCTTATCGTATGTGTCTATTGTGCTGGTCTAAGCATCCAAGAATGGGTACGAGTAGATGGGGTAGGAAGATCGCGTCGCAACGCCGTCGGGGAACCACGAAACTAACGTGGGGCACCCGCTGGCAGGCCAGTTTCTTCTCTGACAGCGGCCGGTGTGCAGAGAATCGGCATTATCCTGCCGACTGCCTGCACCATCCCGTGCGAGAGCGGCACGTTCCCACCGCGCTCCCCAGACGCCCGACTTCAACACAGGGCCCCCGGGAATCTGGGCCTTCCCCAGGGCCCGGCAAGGGCCCCCAGAGGCCGACGAGAAACTCTCGCCATGAGCTTCTCGTGGCGCAGGAGGTGACCAGCCTGAAACATGTCCCTGCCCCTGTGATTGACATCGCCTCTTCTGGATGCCGATCTTAGGGTTTCCCCCAGTGTCTCAGGGCGCCTCCCTAAGATTGTCATCGCCTTTTGGCTTGTCGATCTCAGGGACATGGATCAGCTCGAGGCTGGTTCGGCGGCCTGGGTCCTGCCGCTCCCCCGCACGCCGCCGAAGGGCACCCCCCTGCTGGGTGCCCTGTCTCGGTGGCGCTGCACCTGGCGCGGCGCCGCCAGGCATGCCGCGCCCACGCCCGCGGCGCCCGCGGCCCAGCCCGCACAGACGCGCTGCCCGAGCCGCGGGGCGAAGGCGCCGCCGGCGGGCGCCGCGGTCGCGAGCGCGCGGGCCGCGCCCAAGCTGCGGCACGCCGCGCCACACGGCGCACGGCGAAGATGTCCGGGTGCGCCGAAGAGGGGGGCGAGATGACCCCCACGTGCCTTCTCTCGCTGCGGAGAAAATCACGACGGGAGGTGTTTGGCGAGTTTCGGCCTCCAGACCCTCGCTGGGCCCCGGGACGGTCAACCAAGGACTCGGGTTGAAAATCCGGTGCTGGGGAAGGGTCAAGATCACCAGGGGTCCACGTTGTGAAGAAAAGCGCGACGTCGGAGTTCTGAGGAGGGAGGTGGGGCGAGCATCATGGCCACGAGGATGGTGCGCGGACAAAGGGGGGGGGCCAAGGACCGCGGTGGAAGGAGAAGGGGCCGTGGAAGCCAGGAGGTACCGTGGCCCTGGCCATGGCATCCACACATCATCCCTAATCCTCACCCCCCTCTTGGACGGCCCCGAGATACGCCAGCGCCCTCATCGTGTGCGCCAGGTGGGCTGCTTGGGGGATTCGTGCACGGACTTTCGCCAAAATGGCTACGAGGTGCTACGACCAGCTCCCGCGGCAAAGCTCAGGCGGGATCCAACTCCACGAACGCATGCCATTCGCAAGGCGAGACCAGTAAAACCAAGCGATAGGAGAACACACATTGTCACTGCTTCTATTGGTAGGGGGGCCTCGTAAGGCCTAAACCTACAAACGCAATCGAAGTATCCAGATTGGTTTGGCCGAGCCTGCTGGCTTTACCGAACAGCCAAGACTGCGTTGACTGGATCGAAAAAGCGATCGCCCTTGCTCATGCTTTGACTAGAGCGCCAATGGGAACTGTAAATGTGTCCATCCATCATCCATAATATGTTCTCGTATCCCGTGTTAGTATGACCTGTCATACTGGTCCCGCTGACATTATATTACAACGTACACGTCTACCAACTTGTGCAATCTAGTCGGCCAGAAGGGTGGGGTGGCAAACGAGCCCATCTGTGATTATACATATGATTCGGTCTGTTTGGAACTATATCGCGTGTGAGGAGTCATTGTGCAATCTCTCTGGCTCATCCCTTGTCTATCCCGGATTCTAGACAGAGTCTCGCTTCGTTTGCCCTCAAGGCTGAATGAAAAGATGTGTTGCGTTATCGTTGCATGCCAGATGGCAAACATGGACTTTCAAAAGGTGCTCAGTATCTCAATTGAATGGAGTTGCCCTCGTTTGGATTCCCAACGCACGCAAAAACTACAACGTGGTCGTGTGCCCCTCGTGCGCTACTAACGCACTACAGCACTAGGAACGCAACGTTGAAATACTGCAGCAATACATCACACTGAGAGGGGCCCTCTCACAGGGCGGTCGGATGCGCTGGCGCCACCAAAACAACAACATACATAATGCAACATCGCTGCAACGCAGCAACAAGACACTGCTACAACAGTTTGTATTCAGACAAACTGCCGTGGTGCAGTGTGCACTTCTGGAACACAGCGTTTGCAAACATTCACATGGGCAAACGATGAAATACTGAGACACTGTGGTGTGGCATGCTGGAGGCCTGGCCAGAGAGCGTCGTGAAACGCTTGCGAGGCAACCACACTAATGCAAAACATGTATACTTCTATCCTCGGCGAGAAGCCCTGGATCAGATGGACCGCATACGAGCAGTCAAAATAACGATGCCGCGAGGCAAAACGAGCGAGCCTGCCGGCAAGCAAGATCATATTGCTGTTGGCCTGCTTTTGAAGAGCAAAGGGTGCTTTGTCGATGTCCCCTGACGACCCCACCCAAATCCCCCACCACCTCCTCCACCTCCTCTTTCTCCTCCTTCAAAAACATAAACCCGGCATTCAAAAAAAGCCTCGACTGGACAAGAGCGGCTCCGCCCGAGGGCCGCCCGGCCGAACGATTAATTGGACTGGCTTGAACTTCGATATCGATAAAGACAGAAGAACATTTGTTTTACGCACTTAAAAATAATGCGCAGCGGCACTGCCTCACTGCAACACCGCAGTCACGCCCAACAGAAAGGGCATGAGTGTAGGACTGTAAGCCCAAGCAGCTGACCATAAGGCGCAACCAGAAAAATGCAAGCTGGGATCGTAGCAGAAATTGCAGCAGTAGTTCCCGTACACAAACTCGTATCCTGATCCGCACGAAGCAAGCTCTGCGGATACGTTGAACGCGCAGTCCCCTATCAGCGTCGGTACACTGACCGCAGTCGAGTCCTTCAGGGTCGGTCGGCGGCTCTTCGTCGCAGTCGCCTCGGTCATAGTTGCACTCCCAATTGTTGCACGCGCTATCGCACATGCCGTCGCCTAGCCACCCGTCGTAGCAGCCGTCCGCGCAGGTCGTGGCCTCCTCAGAGCATGCTTCGCAACACAAGCCCTCCGCGAAATAAGGACACCAGCCCCAGCCAGCCACTTCGCTGCAATCGTCAGACCCCATTTCTAATATACCGAGTACGTCGTTATAGTCCTTGCACTCCATCATAGCTGCAACACGCGTTTGGCAACATGAGCCTTGCAGCTCAAAATCGAGGAAGCACATGCCAGCAGCATCCCCGCAACCAGTAAGCCCGGAAGCATCATGCTGCTGGAAAAAAAGCGAGGGCGGCATTGTCATCTTCGCACACACCTGGCTCATTGTCGGTCGTTGTCCACCACATCTTGGGCTCAGGCTCTGGCTCTGGCTCTGCTCTGGCGTGGCGTCGCAGTAGCCTCCGTCATAGTTGCACTCCCAATTGTTGCACGCGCTGTCGCAGGTGCCGTCGCCCGGCCACCCGTCGTAGCAGCCGTCCGCGCAGGTCGTGGCCTCCCCAGAGCATGCTTCGCAACACGAGCCCTCCACGAAATAAGGACGCCAGCCCCAGCCAGCCACTTCGCTGCAATCGTCAGACCCCACTTCTAATATACCGAGTACGTCGTTATAGTCCTTGCACTCCATCATAGCTGCAGCACACGTTTGGCAACATATGCCTTGCAACAGTGAGTTGTCGATTAAGCACATGCCAGCAGCTTCCCCGCAACCAGTGAACAGGGAAACATTATTCTATTGGAAGAAAGAGACGAGGGCGGCATCGTCATCTTCGCACACACCTGGCTCCTTGTTGGTCGTCGTCTCTGGCTCTGGATGTGGCGCGGCGTCGCAGTCGCCTCCGTCATAGTTGCACTGCGGATTGTTGCACGGGGGTCGCACATGCCGTCGCCCAGCCACCCGTTGCCGCAGCCGACCGCGCAAAGCGGGGCGTCGCAGTCGCCTCCGTCATAGTTGCACTCCCAATTGTAGCACGCGCTGTCGCAGGCGCCGTCGCCCGGCCACCCGTTGTAGCAGCCGTCCGCGCAGAGCCCCGAACTGAGGGCTCGCCCATCACGAACTACCTGGTAGTCACACTTGCCCAAGTAAGCTGTATCAATAGTGGCACAGCTGGCTTGACAGGTGCTGTCATATGTCTGGCCGTCTTCACCACATACGGGGTCTGAGTAGGGACAGTTACAGCCTTCGGCTCCAGACATCAGAGCCCGTCCTGCATGTGCCATCGGCAGCGCTTGGGCCCTGCGGAACAGCTCGCCACTTTTGCCTTGGGGGACATCCACATGCACCCGCAAGCACGTCATGGCCTTGCCCGCGGAATCGATGACCTTGATTTTCAACTTGTAGCCGCCAGCAATCACCATCGGTGGCAACGTATCGAGGGCGACGCGAAGCTCAATGTTCCCAGGTGGAAGGGGGCTTCCGCGTCTGCTGTGGCTTTTCCCAAAGTGTTTGCACAAGTCCTCCTCGTATGTGTGAAGGACGCTGTGCCATGCGAGCTCACGCTTCACCCAGTCTCCTGTAGACGAACCCTCAGCAGCCGAGCCCTTGTACATCTGGACGTTGAGTCCCCCCCGACACATTGTTCGAGAGATCCCTGTAAGCGCGAACCTGGAGGTGGGCCCGGTCGAACTCCGCGCGAGCAATAGACATCGCGTCACTCTTTACCGCCGCAGTCCTCAATCTGCACACCAGCGCCACGGTCGAGTATCTCTGCAACGGTAATCACATCGCTTTTCTCCTTCCCCTCACCTGCCATCTCGTCGAGATATCCCCAAAACTGGTCCTTGACTTTGGCATCGGCTATTGTGAAGACGCGTAGGACGGCGACGACTGAGCGAGCAGTCGCCGACGCTATCGTAGTCATGACACCGTGTTGGAAGTGAAAGCTGTCAAATTTTGACCGCCTGCGTGTTGAAGAAGACACGCCTCGACACACAAACTCTTGAGCCAAAATGGCTACGGGCCAATGCAAAACATGCATTGGCTCCATGCGGAATGCGTGGTGTACGATCTATATATAAATCTATACATCTGTACGTATATGCTTCAGTGTTGCCGTAGCCGCCAATTGTCTGAGGCAAGCGCGTGATGCTGCCGTAGTGTCTCATGCCCTCTGTCCCCGCTCGCGGAGCGAGGTGTCTCCATACTTAGGCTCCTGGACAGGACGTGACTTACCTTGTCTTGGCCTGGTTAGAACTGCGAACGTGTTTCCATTCTCTCTTCAAACACAACTAAGCATCCTAGGCTAGGAAAACAATCCGCATTGTTGACACTATTCCCCGCCCCCCCCCCCCCCAGTCAACGACATCCAGTAGGGCAGCGTCAACATTTAATCGTGCATTCCCAATTGGCAGTGCCTCACGTGACCGCACCATGCATGGTAAGAGGGCTCACATGCACTTACGCAGTGAGGCCAATTAAATCACTCGCGGCAATGTATAAGGCATCATGCCTTGCGGATCCGCTGACAGCGGGCTTCCCTGAGGTCGGCGAACAAGTACCCGTCGCACCGCCACACGATTCAGATCAGCGTAGAGTTCACGGGGACGCGCTCGGCAAATCGCACGCTCAAGCAGGCGAGGGTGGACGGTGTTCGTCCAAAGATGGGTGTGACCCCAGAACTTGTTTTGGATCGAGTCTCAAGCGAACCGACAAAAAGGCGACGCGTTTCGAACACTTCTTCAACGTACAGAAAGCTTTCATACGCCTTATGTATCATATACATCGTCTTCTCCATCATATTATTCATGTGCTTCATCGTCCCCATCATGGTCAACACCGTCATCTTCCTCATCGTCGTCGCCCTCACCTTCTATATCATACTGCATCGAGTATGGTTTGGAGTATATTCGGCCAACACAGCACATAGACTTTCGAGAGGACACTAGAAGCTCAGGCTAGCCCTGCATGTTCGGCGCCTGATTGATGAGCTTGGCCAAGTCCTAGTATGGCAGAAGGTTGGGTCTCACACGGAACTGCTCATGAACGACAGGAGTGATGATCTCGCAGATTGTGGTGCGACTGGGCTCTTCTGTGGCCTGCCAGATGTTCGGAGGTGGGCAAGCTTAGCAAACTGATCATCAAGAGCTGAGGACAGGCAGACCCTGATTATTTCGCCCCCTAAGGGCTCTTCGGGCCAACCTGTCTACGATGCAATTTCGAACGAGCATCGTCAACGATGGGATCGGCGACTGAGCAGACAGATGCAGTGTTAAGTGCTTTCTTTGAAACCCAACTGTACTTCGTCGAACCCCGATTGTGAACATCACAGCGAGCGGTTTGAATTCATTCCACGAGACAGAAAGAAGAGCACAACTGATCAGTAAGGTGGCCACTGAAGGCTCTCAGTGATGGTATCGCTGGCGCGCCCTGGCGAGAAAGAAATACCTTCACGCCAGCTATGTGTTCTCAGTTCGGCGGCCCCGCCCTGTCGCGGGGCCCCTGTCGCGGGGCCCCGGAGCATGCCTGCATTGGCGGCCGTGTGGGACGCTTGAAGCAGAGAGTCGCACCCGCCCAGCCGATGGATTCTCAGCTGGGTCCATCAGCAATTGCGCTGGAGAGAGAAGCGAGTGCTTCGCAGCCCAAAGGCGGATTAAATCGGCTCCTGCTGAGCGGAACGACCCCCTCGCCGGCGAGAGCGTGATGGCCCTTGCCGATTGGGACCGCGCCGCGGCAACGCGGTCGATGGCTTCAAAAGGGATGCATCGCACAGAGAGTGGGCATCCCATGTATCACATATCGAAGGGCTTTGGTCGTCCGTGTGTTCGGCGAGGCCTCCGGGCCAATTGGGCTCTCCGTCCCCGTCGTCGCATCCAGCACAGACTGGCAGCGCGGCCGCGGCATATCGCGACGGCGAGCAAGAGCCGCCAGACTTCTGCATGGCATGTCCGAATTCGGTTGCGCCCAGCCCGTCCTCATGCGGATGAACTTCATGACTTCTCTCTGTTTTCAAGCCGTGGTGTCGCGTCGAGACTTGTGAGCGGAAAACGGTGAACATTGTGCGCAGCACAAGCAAGGCACTCCACATCGCAGGGGCCGATGTCTTGAGCGCCTGTTAGAATCTGCTGGCGGTCACAGCCGCGCCCGCGTCGCACTGACAAGACGCAACTACACTGACGCCACTCGACGCTGAAGCAGTAGCGTTTGGCCTCAACCGCACGCGAGACGCCAAACTCTGCACAGACCTTGAGCGTGGTCACCACCTGCCGCGTGATTCATGCGACCACACTGCCAGTCCCTGGCAGGTAGTCGCAGTGGCGCATGGAGAAGCTAAAACGTTGTTTCTGTCAAAGCTGGTAGCAGCAGTGCAGTCAAGGCATACAGCACAGGAAGCCGTACTCCCCAGAAGCCGAAGCGCGCTGCCGATGTCGACATTACAGTCAGTGTGACCTCTGGGAACGCAGAGGAGGAACTCCACAACAAAAGTCCTTCACATGATCGCGCGGCCAGGCGCACTCCCTGAATGGAGCTGTAGACTGCTGGAGTGAACGGACGGGCAGTGTGCTCAACGAGGGCCGTTCAGTTGGAGGCACGCGCGCCGCAAGCGAAGACGGCAAGGACACTGCGCAAAGCCAACTAGACATGCGTCCGATTCGGTATAATCCACATGACAGTCGTGCCTGGCGTGTCCATTCGCACAAAAAATCTTAAGGAGCTCGCTGCACCGGTGGGTTCTAGCCACGCGCACAGCGCAGAGCAAGCATGCCAGCGGACATGGCGCTTGGTCCTTCTGGATCTTGGTCGTCAACAACAGCCCGCATGCGGACCAACAAATGCATCTAAACTTGCGCGAAAGGGCATGTCCAGCAGCATTGCTACGATGGCCCAACCCTGCAGTGAGAGGTCACGGAGTCATCATTGCTCCCCCCCGCGCGCGACCGCAACGGCTCGGTGCACAGAACGAATGCGAAAGAGGAAGAAGAAGAGGTAGTGGAGGGGACCACGACCAAGAGGATGATGATTGCACAACCCGCTCGCGCTGCAACCCAAGGCCACCACAGCGTCGTAATTAGTCAGGGGAGCGTGAGCAGCGAAGTATGGGCATTACCTAGATTTCACTTGGACCCACGATCCCAGGGAGTTCTCACTCCAGGGAGGAGAGGAAGAGTACATCATGGAGGAATGGAGGAGGAGGTGCAGTCGGGAAGGACGGAATGTAGGAACGCGAGACGACAGAAATGGAAGCAATGAGCGGGTGGATGGGAGATGAGGTGGAAGAGGAGGACGAACACGCCGACAAGGAGCAGGAGGAAGAGACAGAGGACAATATGAAATAATGGGAGGAGGAGGAGGAAGAGAGCATCCTCGATTGCTTGCTGGAGAACACATGTGACCCTCTACTAGAACGCCAGCCGACATCCGAAGAGCATAGCAGGTGCAGGATTTATGGAAAAACGATACCGGGCAACTTCCCAGTATGCTGATCCGCTCGAGATGTATGTCGGCCCAGAGCAGGCAAATTGCTGAATATTTGATTTGGCTTGGAGTTTGAAATAAGTGTGAGAAATTTGAACTCGCAGCGCGGGAGAAATCCGCCGATCCGGCGTGTGAGTTCCTGAGAGCGTGGGTTTGAGCTCGCTCAAGCTTCGCTGTGGTGGCGAGGGGGGGGGGCTGACGCGAGCTGACGCGAGCTGACGCGGGCTGACGCGGGCTGACGTCTTTCCGGCCCCGGGACCAGGGACCCCGGACCCGGGCGCGTTCCTGCGAAGGGGGGGGGGCGCGCTCCTGGGAGGGAGGAGGGAGGGGGGGGGGGAGCTGACGCGAGCTGACGCGAGCTGACACGGGCTGGCGCGGCCTGACGCGTTTCTGGCCCCGGGACCCGGGACCCGGGCGCGCTCCTGGGAGAAAGGGGGGGGGGCTGATGCGAGCTGACGCGAGCTGACGCGGGCTGACGCCTTTCCGGCCCCGGGAGTCGGGACCCGGGGCCCGAGCGCGCCCTGGGAGGGATATTCGGGCGCGCGGTTCCCTGATACTCTTCGCTCATTCACGAGGCGCGCGCGTTTCTATTTTGATGTGTCGCGTATACTGTGAATTACAATGTTTCGTGGCTGTGTTCTTAGTGTGTATTATTACATATACATCATTAGACACGTTTAGACACGTTTAGACATCTTTTTAAACATGATTAGACATGTTTAAACACGTCGTATCGGAAAAATAGACACGAGTGCATTTTAGACACGGATAGACACGTTTAGACATGTTTAGACGCGTTCGAATTAGACACGGATGGACACCGACAACGCAACGACTCGTTTAGACACGAAACAAACACGCAACGAACCATGTAAGGACTGACACGTCATAATTACACGGACATGCGCGCATGAAGGTCGGGCAGTGGTTGGCCCAGCAGGGGACGTCGATGGCAGAGCAATGCCACGAAACAAGCTCGGGCATGGCATATATTTTGGGATTGCTGGCGTCTAAATGGGGGTCGGGGTAGCTGGGATGATGAAGTTACAGAGTAGGTGGGAAGCGGGACGATGGGCAGATGCATTTGAGAAGGAACATGAGGAGGAACTGAAGGAGGATGAGAAAAGGGAACGGGAAAGGAAGAGGAAGAGAAGCAGGAGGAGGATGATAATGACAAGGAGAAGGATGGCAAGGACCAGAGAGGGAGCGCAGGATTACCATCACCATCGTCATCCCATCGGCATCATCGTCATCATCGTTGTCATCGTCATGACCATGATCCGCCCTCAGCGTCCCTGTGTTCATCCTCCGCCTGCCCCCCCTCCTCCTCATGTTCCTGCCCCTGTTGCTGCTGCAGCTGTTGCTCCTCCTCCTCCTCCTGAGGATATTCCTCCTCCCCCTCCTCCTGTGACTCCTCGTCCTCCTCCTCCTCCCCCTCGTCATCCTCGTCCTCCTCCTTTTCCTTGTCCTCCCCTCTATCATCTTTCACTGGCCAGCCAACATGCTACAATCTGCGATATCAGGGGCACTAGCCACATGCCCATGCCAAGCTGATGGCACATTTGCGCGCG